CATTCGGCCGTTTTCCTGTGATTTTCGTTCATTCAAACATCATACCTTTTTGTTTGTTCTATGAGTGACTAAAGTGCGTTCATTCAAGAACTTGTTTACGTACATGTCTAGTCTCATTGAACGGCGTTCTCTGGAACAGACCTTTTTTCATCTAAGGGAGTGCGCTGCACAGAATCGATTTGCAGAGCCGTCTCTACTTCTGCGACAATCATATTTCTCATTCAGAAGTTTTATAAGAAAATCGAGCGCATTCTTTTGACTTCTGAATGTTGGAGAAATTATTACATTAGTTCGTCAATTTGCATAATCAAAGCTAAGTGTGTCCGCTTAGTGTAGCTCGCAAAATCCTCATGGAAACCTACTTTATTATTCACCATTTAGTTTATGACAGTTCGAACAAACTCGAGCTCATGCATCCGTCGAACTTCAATTCAACATATTTTTGCGATATTAAATTTTGTATAATGTCGAAAATGAAGGCGATTTCGATTTATTATATATTTTTTAAGTCGTACTTTCCTCATTCCATCATTTGAAACAAATTCACCTCGTCTGAACGAAGTTCTTAATCGTCGTTTCTCCCTTCATTCATTTTAATTTGTTTTTTCTATCATAAATTCCCTCTCTCTCTTTCTGATAGAGACACATCGAACACTGATTTTTGCATGTAGAGTATGATAATCAAATTCATTTCTGTTCTGAAATGACTAATCTCAACTACAAACCGTATCAGGTCCCAGATCTTGTTTGTGCTAATTTTGTCAGCCTTCTTCGCACTCGCGTTTATGAATGAAGATTTGACCCCATGCACTGGAGAAGATGTAGGAACCCAGCAAGGCATCTTGTGCCTTGTAGTTTCTTAGTTTTCCAAAGTTTTTGACTGTTTAAATAAATTTTGCTTTGCATTTATTGACTGTTTTAAATGTGTCTTATCATTAAGTATATATATGTTATATTTCTGAGGCATTTTTGTGGGTATATGTCAAGAGGCGCGATTTTTTTTTCCAGACGGACACCAATTAGCGCATTATAGTGTTTAATAACGTTCTAATAGACTTTCAAAATCTGAGGAGATATATAAGATCATGTTTGTTGAAAGTCAAAAATCCGCGAAAATGCAACTAAACACAATGTAAGTATTCTGCTCATTGTTTTACCGAAAGCTGTCATACTCAGCAGTAACTACAAATACTTAATAAGTAAGCTAGAGCACTTTGTCTGTGTTTTTAAAGCTCGCCTGGCTGTTGTTATGGTCTCCCGCCTCTTAAAGGCAGCATCCGGGCAAAATTTCAAATGGAATTTTTTTTTGCTTACCTGAGGCTATTCCTCCCGCTTATTCTAAAAATGCAGCTTGGAGGGCACGAAAACGCCGAAAACAGGCTTTTCCAGAAGCTCTGGATTCGAATTTTGTCGCCTGCCGCCAAGGTTAAGACGCAGAGTCTTTGTGGGACCCTATGTCTTGAATGTGTGCTGTATGCGCACTCTGGCTTATCAACCAACTAGTACCGGTCGCCGGGGCGTTCCGGTCGCTACTTCTGAACGGATTTCTCGCTTCAGAAGCAAGTTGGTACATTGCCAGTTGGGCAAGAGCCTTACCAGGACGGCCGCCTCTGTACTCTACACTTTCGTATCTGCCCGGGCGCTGCCTTTAAGGTCTCCCCAATGTTAGGGTAGACTTTCATGGTAAAATTCACTATGTGAACAATTTATCTTGAAGTTAAAAAGTAATCTTGCAAAGAAGCCTCTAGTCATTTCAAGCTCCTGGCTTTCTTCTCTTTTTTGGACATTCTGAGGGAAACCAAAGAGGAATGGCCGATGTATTTTACGCCATTTTATTGAATACTGCTCAAGATTACACTTTAAGAAAGTATAAATAATGCCAAATTTTATGTAGATCTCAATACAATAAAATTATGTTACATTGCTACATGGTTGATCAAAGATCAATGACAATAATCAGCAGACGGTCGTTTAGAGTTTACCCCAAAAATTGCAGCGATACTCTCATTTTTCGATTTGTGGCCGATGTGTACGCGAACAAATGCCCATTGTTTTTGACTTGATTTTGAAGAAGTGACATATAGATTATCTCTCAGACCAATGGACGTTTTCTATTCTGAGCTTTGTCTCTTTGGCGCTTCAATTATGCAGCAAAACAAAATTTTTCCTTATGGAATTTTTCAATGTATTTTCTCCCGCAAGGGCACAAAGCAGCTTGCTGGAAAAAATGTGAGAAACAATTTTTTTAACGATATCCGAAATTATTGGCTTGTCCTGTTTACACAAGAGCATACTACATTAGCTAGTATGTCTACTTCTCTTCTCTTCCTCTTCGAAAACAGTCCTCTTCACTTCCGCCTCCTCGCTCTCACCTTGAATAATTGGATTACATCAAGTGCCTTCAAAACACTACCGGTTTGTGAGTCTTTTTATGTGCCTTCTTCCTCGGGAACGCTTTCGGTGAATGTACCGCTGCTGCATGGGACCGCCTCGCCTCCTGTTTCAATTACATATATTGGAAAATCCTACTCTTCTACCCTTTGATTCAGCTGGCTTGGCAGCTGGAAGGCGGTGCTTCGTGACCTAATTAAGGCTGGATAATGATCAAAGAGCGCGCGCGTGGGAGAGGCGCAGACTGCGTTACAGACGCGAACCTTAATTAAGTCAAACCCCGCCTTCCAGCTGCCAAGCCAGATGAATCAAAGGTTTGTTATGTTTCTTCAAATAAGAAAATTCTCCTGTTAAAGGCAGTGGGTCGGCCGAATGAGACCCGTGGCAAAACAAGGTCACAGGGTAGGAGCCCCCATAATGGAACCTATCGGCCAAAGTCCGATCTTTCTCTGCCACTTTTAACCCCCGAAATTTCAACGCGAAAACAGCGCTCATCTCCTCGTCTCTCCGGTCCCGCCCACCCCATGGACGAGTGACTTCCACGGTCAGAGGCGCATGCCTACTATAAGCATAAGGGTCCCGCAACGACTCTGCATCTTCGCCTTGACGGGCTTCGCGCTCACTAGTCCGTGGGGTGGGCGGGATCGGAGAGGAGAGGAGATGAGCGCTGCTTTCGCTTTGAAACTTCGGGGGTTAGAAGTGGCAGAGAAAGATCGAAATTTGGCCCATAGGTTCCACTATGGGGGTCCTACCCTGTGACCTTGTTTTGCCACAGGTCTCATTCTGCCGATCCACTGCCTTTAACGGAAAACAGTAATTATTTGTATGGATTCATATCTGTCTATCTGTCTATTCATATTATTTTAACATCTTCAAAATCTTATTTCCAAGCGTTGCATCGTTTCCCATCTTTTGTTTGAACAATGCAGATTTTATTTTGAAGTAAATTTTCGGCTGCAGAAATGTATGTGATGGGCTGAAATGAATTTTTCTCATCTTTAGTCCAACTTTTTGATAACCGAATGTTCAACTTGCGCTTCCAAAAAATGTTTTGAATATGAATGGATGTGAAGAGAAATTTTCATTTCCAAATCTACTTGCTTTCCCAATGCTATAACACTATCTTCTGTCATTTGTTATAGATTTCGCTATCAAAAGGAGAAGTTACAGTTAGATAAATCATAGTATCCAATGACTTTGTAGAAATTTTCGCCATTTATAATCACGAAAATTCATGGGCAAAAAATTTTACCCTATTTTCAAGAGTACGAGGCGCGTGGTATTTTTTCTAAAATCGACTAGCCCAGATACACTGAGTTGTTTGGCGACCCAGGGAATCCACCGTGCTGCGCGTGCTGTTAGGGGGTTAGGGTACTTGGTTAGAAGTAAGGCATTTCAAAGAGTAAGGATTTCCGAAATTGAAAACTCAAATTTTCAAAACTAGGAAGATATCGAAAATTTTGGAGCTGTCTCGTCATCGACTAAGCATAGATTTTGGAGAACTCTCATGCTTAAAGGCAGTGTCTGTCCAGGCAGAATTTCGACTCCTATTTTCCTGCCTTATCCAGGCTCTTTCATGGCGCTGATAATATGGCACTCAAAATGCGTGAAAACCCGTTTTTGAGATAATTTTGTGAGAAGCGTGGACGAGTGCTTCATAGCAGTCCTTGTCGAAACCAAGTCTCATTCTGCCGATCCACTGCCTTTAACGAAACCAAGTATTAACAGGTTGACACTATGTGTTTCATTGTGTTTACCACGTAAAAACACGTCAAGGGCTGAGGAGAGTTCAAGGAGGCGGGCCGTGCTAGGGAGTAGGCGTGGTCCTCGAGGCTCGGCGTTTTCTGGCCGATTTTCTACTTTTATAGGGGGTGTACAAAAGTCGGAGGCTTGTGCGATAGTTCCAGATCGAGGCCAAAGTACTCGGTTATGGTGGTATCCTATTATGTCCAAATCTGCCCGGACTCTGCCTTAATGTGCGGTACGTTCATACATTTCAGCGTTATTTAAGCTGTATAGATTCAGGAGTACTTAGCTTAGAAAGTCTTTTCTCACAGGTCCTGGATGTTTCCCGTTGTCACCTTTTTGAGAAATGTTTGTAAATGCGTTTTCTTTCAGCTTTTTTTGTATCCGGTATGATATTTCCTCGTTTGACCTTGTAGCTGATTCCCATATTCGGTGTTTTCTAATCAGCATCTAGATTATGAGGTGAACATATACAAAAAAGGTAGTACAACACTTTTCCCTTTGATTCAGCGGCTTTAGGTGAATTGCTAAGCATCTAAAAGTATTTGAGTCTTTCTAGGCATTTCTGGTACTTTCTAGGTATTTCTATTTCTATTTTTTTATTTTCTAGGTTTTTTTAATATTTTTATATTTACTAGGTATTTCTTTTTCTAAGTATTTCTAGGTATGAATGAAAAGGGACCTAGGCAATGTTATCTCCTAATATATGCTGGCTTATGTTGACTTTGCACTGATAAAATCGCATTGACCACCAACATTCACTCAGCAGTGAATGCACAAAGATCTTCGTTGTTTATCGCCGCATTTCCGCTCTGTTCCGTTCATTCCATTAGTTCTAACGTTTTGGAGACAATTTAGTTCATATTTGACCTACCAATCATGGCTCATTGTCTGCAGATATGGTGCTAGCGGTAGAGACTCCAGAGACATCAAAAGCTTCTGTCAGCTCGGAGGTCAAGTGTGAGCAGAAGGAAAATGGGCTGAATGATACGCTTTTGGACGAGCTAAAAACGGAATTTGAAAGTCTTGCTACCACGGCTGACTTCAATAGAGTCGGCTGTGATGTGAGTTTATAGTTATATTCTCACAAGGAAAGGAAGGTTGGTCGAAGTGGCCTTTTGAGATGAGATATATACTGCCTTGTAGAGCTTTGAACGCTGATTCCAAATGTGCATTCGCTATCTGCTGCGGGCTTCTGGGCGAGGAATTATGAAAGTTTTTGTGAGTAAAAATCTGAATGCAAGAGTAGACTAAAATCAGTCGTAAAATTTTTTTATAGGGCTTAATGGTAGTCGGGTCACTCGGTGTAACAAATGGTCTTGATTTAAATATAAAAACTCGCTGTTGCCTCATTTGAACGTTGGGAAAAGGTTGCGACTGATTTTACCCTATTATTGCATTCGATTTTTACTCACACAGACTTTCATAACTCCTCGCCCAGAAGCCCGCTGGAGATAGCAAAGGTAGATTTGGAATCATCCTTGTCAGTCCATGCGTTCTCATTCTGCTTTCGGCGTAAACATCAGAGCTAATTTTTCAGGTGAAACCCGTGTTCGCCACGAAAGAAAGAATTGTCTGCGAAATGACGCTTGGCCCTGGCCATGTGAACGCCAAGGTAGATAGGTGTAGGAAAGTGTACTAAAGCTTAGATATTATCATAATTTTATAGGGTACACTCCACGGAGGCCAGACTGCTGCGCTGACCGATATCGTGACTGCTCGTGCTCTCGGGCAGACGATCAAGGATCGGCCAATGGCTTCTATAGAGCTCTCGGTTATGTATGTTCTTATCTGAATTCTCGTCACAGCCATTAAATATGGCAGTCCCAGAAATTTTTCGACCGCAAAAATTACTAATAGTCAAAAATCACACGTTAACAGCATTAACCCCAATTTAACGACTTAAGACACACCTTTTTCATTTTTTTTCAAATCAAATCAGGCGCACCAGTGTGCCTTGTGAAATAGTCGCTCTGACACAATGCTTTTAGGTATAGAGCAGCACTTTAGAGGGTCCCAAAAAATTCCTGGTGCTTAAACTGGTCGAGTTAAAAAAAACAAGTGCATGTAAGGTTCATTTGAAATCGTGACGACGGATTTGACTGCGGTCTTTGCGCCCACAGAAGCATAACACCCTCATACAGAAAGACATCGCCTGCTCAGGTCATTCATTTCCAGTGTCTAAGCACTATCATATTGAGCAGAAAATTCAGTCGGGTAGGGATTAAAACAAAAAGCGGTTGCCGGAAGATGCGTGCGTGTCGCGCGCGGTTGCGCCATCGTCACGGTTTTTCGAATGCCCTATATTTGTGAAATATAATTGAGCGCAGTGTTTTTGTGTTTTTTTCCGTTATAAGCGTGAAAAAGTGTATCTACCGACAAAAGACGATTTCAAAGATCTGAGGAGTTTTCCGCTTACATGTTTTTTATTGCCGTATCTCATCCACTTCAATGTGTAAGCTCATAGCTGTGTGTGAAGGTTTTTTCTTTATATAAGAGCTAATTTACTTCAGATACATGCTTCCCGTCAAACTTGGAGAAGTCATCGAAATAACGGCAAATGTGCTGAAGATTGGGCGAAATGTAGCTTTCAGTGAAGCGGAATTCAGGCGGAAGTCCGATGGCAAGTTGGCAGCAAAAGGCCGCCACACTGTAGCAATATTGCCAAAGCCAGCTCAGGAAGGAGAGAAAGTTGCGCAGTACTAAATCGAAGACTAGGTAGAACATGACATTTATATGTAGGCTGTTTCAGATGTGAACGGTCGTGAAGGTGTGTGTGATGGGGCTGCCCCTGCATCTCAGCCGAGGTTAAAGTCGCAGTTATAGCGCGGAATCCAAGCATGGGCTCTTTTTCTGGTCACAAGTGCTAATATTTAGTTTTCTCTAGAAATTTTGAACAATTAAGTAGATATGTTAGTTACGTAGTCCTTAGCGGCGATTTTGCAGTGTAATTTTGGTTGTAGATTCTATCATAAAAAAGCAGAGTGTTGTGAGGCATGAACTCATGTATAAAACTCGAGTGAGGGTGTGATTTGGTTTTACATGTCAAGAAAGAGAGAAAACTGAAAACAGAGTCTACACAGAACCCTTCCGGCAGGTTTTTCTGTGTGACAAAACCCCCAGTATTTAGTATTATATAAAGGCTACTGCATGACGAAGGCGCATAAGCAGTGTTGGGTGAGCGGGCGCGAACGCAGCGGGCGCGTATCTTCACAATTGTAAATCCTGCGCCTCATGCGCTCTGCGGCTATTCAAGCCGCGTTCGCGCCTGAAAATAATGCGCCTTTGTCATGCAGCAGCCTACATGTGCTCAAACGATAATACATTTTTTCATGAGCTCAGCAAGTGTGCTCAGCCACATGGTACAAGCCATCAGACCGTTCCCATCTAGAAATGCTCATATCTTCTCTTACTTGATTTTTGCGCTTACAAGTGAAGGTTGCCAAGTCGCCGTGGCGATCTGGGACGGAACGCATAGCATTACATTCGCCTCGTTGAGCTGGCTTCAAATCTACCCTATTTTCGGTTGTATCCAAGCGCGTCGCTGCGCAGGTGTCTCGCGAAGCGGTTGTTTTCTCGCACATTACTTTCACTTGACGCGCCTCGTGGTAATCAGTAGTCTCTCGGGGTTTTCGCCTTTAAAGCAGACGAAGGCGGCTCATACCTGAAAATAGGGTACTTTCCATATCTGCAGCACGGTTCTTTGGAAAAATTTATGAGCGATCAAAAGTTTAAAGTTTTTCCGCGATGTGTTTGAAAACCGGTGTTCTTTGTACTGACTACAAGGAGCACATACATACAGCGACAACATTGATAGGTGTGCTTGAACAACTACTTTGTAGAGCTGTAGCACTGAATGTTTGCCAAAATAAGACCGTCAAATTCACGTAGCTTCAAGAACTGCGCGGCAGGTACGGAAGTTAGATTTGGAACCAGCTCAACAAGACGCATCTAATAAAATGCATTTCGTCCAAATCGCCGTGGCCATGGGATCTCTTCCTAGTCAGTGCATGCAAATCCATCTTATGCGACGAAATGAACAGAAGGGGAGGGGAAAGCGGCATACGTTTTGTATTTATCTCATAAGAAATCCTCTCCGGTGTTGTTAGCATACTTTGCGTTCTGATCTTCCTCACCAACCAAATAGGTGTCTGTAGATGTTTTGAAATTGTTTCTGTTGTGTTGTTTCATCGAGCATAATAATTCTAACAGGTGATTTTGTGATAGTGACTAATGCCACCTTGCATATCGTGTTTAGGTTTTACCCTATTATCACAGTTGGTTTCAGTAATCTTTGGATTAGGCCCTTTTACGAGACTCTTTTTAGAAAACTGGTTTGAAAGTAATTTCATTTGCTTATTTAAGAGTGAAACGTTTTTATTTTGCTTTTTGTATAATACCAAGGTTTTGGACGGAAATTTCTTCCTTATTTTATTTTAATGACACAGAATGCTGGAGAATAGACGAATGTTTTCAGTTGTTAAATCGTCATCCCATTACATAAGGCTTTAGAGAGAAAAACCATGCGACGGCCGGCTATCGCTCTTGGATACATAGTTGGAATCAATCAACGGAGCGGTTCACGGAGCTAGTTTGTCCATACAGAAGACCCAAGGTTGCGCAAAGCTGGCATGGTGTATGAAATCCAATGCACACAGTGCTCCGCCCTCAGACGGCGGCGGGTAGAGGGACGAACACCTCAATCAGGCACCGCCTCCGCGAGCTGCTGGTCCTTTCGCCCTACTGTTGTGCAGCGTGCTAGGACCAGTGTCCGTGAAGGCGGTGCCTAATTGAGGTGTTCGTTCCTCTACCCCTGGGCGACAGTGGCGTACCCAGGATTTCGGCTCGGGGGGGGGGGGGGGCGCGGCAAAAAAATTTTTCAAATGAAGGTGCGTGGCGTTAGCCACGCACTCCGAAAATTTTTTAGGGGGGCTTGTCAACGATTTTGCGGGCCCCCAACCCCTAAAATCTGTAAAAAGGGGGCGTGGCGTCAGCCACGCCCCCGAAAAAAAAATTTTTATAGGGCTAATTTGAAATTTTAAAAAATTTTAAAAATTATTTTAATTGTTTACAAAAATAAACAAGTCATTTGCACATTTTTATAACTCATGTAAGTAACTTTCAAAAATTTCGCGACCCGTTCTCGGGGGGGGCGCGCGCCCCCCCCCCCCGCCCCCCCCCCTCGGTACGCCACTGCTGGGCGAGTGTGCATGTTAGTGAACATTCAGCTAGTAAGAGGAGGCAGAGCATAGTAAGTCCATTCAGAAAGCGATAGAGCTCAGAAATGCTGTTTACAAAATCAGGTGCAAGGTTTTGGTTTACGACATCACATTTCTGCCCGAAAGGCTTTAAAGGCAGTACATCGGCAGAATGAGACCCGTGACAAAACAGGGTCATAGGATAGGAGCGCCCATATGGAACCTATCGGTCAAGTCCGATCTTTCTCTGCCACTTCTAACCCCCGAAATTTCAAAGCGGAAGCAGCGCTCATCTCCTGTATTGTCTGGCCCCGCCCACCATGGGATGCGCTATTGCAATGCTGTCTTTGGTTCTATGAGTGGTAAATTGGCTGCTGCGGACAGTAACGAAATTCTGAAAATCGTTTGCCAACGCCTTTCATCCTCGGCGAAGCTTGATTAAGCTGGCTTTAGAGCTGTCCACCTCTGGCAGGACAGTCCCCGACATCGTAAAAGAGGGTCTTGCGATGAAGCTTTTTAGGATGCTAAAATTTCATGCTTTTTGGGAGGAATGGACTGAACTGGCTGCGCAGATGCCATCGACTGCTTGAAAGTTTCTCCAAGGCACGCCACAGAACGGCACTCTTTTCTGACGATAAAATTTTTAACGTAAAAGAGGTTTTCAATCTCCAAAACACCAGAATCATATCCTAATCGCTCTGAGAAGCCATCAGCAGGGGTTGACTCGCCAAGGGAGAGCCTCATCCGGTTTTTCCGATGGTTTGGGTGGCGATCACTTCCGGCTGCAAGATCTTCGCCTCAGGGCATCTGGACGCTGCGACGTAGTTGGATAGCATTCTGAAGAAGTAACTGATGCCCTAGACCGATATCCATTTTGCAGGGAAATGGTGCTCCCAGCAGGTACCGCACCTGCGCACGTAGCGAAGGTTGTTCAAACTTGGCTCCAAAGCAACTTTAAGGTCTCCACTACTCTTGCGGAATGGCCCCGTTGAGGCTCTCCCTTAGCGAGTCAACCCCTGCTGATGGCTTTTCAGAGCGATTAGGATATGATTCTGGTGTTTTGGAGATTAAAAACCTGTTTTACGTTAAAAATTTCATCGTCAGGAAAGAGTGCCGTTCTGTGGCGTGCCTTGGAGAAACTTTCAAGCAGTCGATGGCATCTGCGCAGCCAGTTCAGTCCATTCCTCCCAAAAAGCATGACATTTTAGCATCCTTAAAAGCTTCATCGCAAGACCCTCTTTTACGATGTCGGAGACTGTCCTGCCAGAGGTGGACAGCTCTGAAGCCAGCTCAATCAAGCTTCGCCGAGGATGAAGGGCGTTGGCGAACGATTTTCAGAATTTCGTTACTGTCCGCAGCAGCCAATGTACCACTCATAGAACAGCCCTGGGTGCTGTTCATATCCTGGAGACGACGCAATGTGAAAAAGACCCTGATCTGTAAAATTTGGGGAGCCCGCGCAATTTGCTGGTCAGCCATCCTCTCCTCGTGCATCTTCTCCACCAACGGTCGCTCCATTCCAGAAAGCATATCTCCGATAGGATAAAAGCTAATAGTCCATTTTGAGGGCTTGTACTCAAGAGTATAGGAAGCAAACACATATAATTAGCATACAGAGATTTGTGGAAAAGCGGACATACAAGGACATCAAAAATTGTTCAAGGACTTTCCCCCAACCCTGTCTATAATGAACAGACGGTGATAGACAACTGTCTTGAGGTACTCCAGATTTGCAGGGCCTGCTTGTGGAAAGCCTGTCCTGGACGCGAACAGAAAATGTTCTGTCGGAAAGATAGGGTTCAAACCAGCCTAGAAGAGGGCCTTCTGTTTTCCAAGCTCTCCAGCTTCACTAAAAGGAAGTTGTGGTCTACAGTGTCAGAGGCTTTGCTTAGATCAAAATGAAGCGCATCAACGTATTTATTTGTGCTCAAAGCAGTAATCCATTCATATTGACAGTCTAGCAGCTGCGTTCCTGTAGACCGCCCTGGTAGAGAACCATATTGCTCTTCTGGTAAGCATTTAATTTTCAAAAGCCAATCAAGCAAATTACTGGTTAAAATTTTTCAAGGACTCTGTATGGTCTGGGAAGCATGGAAATTGGCCTGATGTCAGAATGCTTGGGTGTAACAGAAGTTTTGGCTAGAGGTGTTACGATAGCAGATTTCCAGAGACGGGGCACTTGGGAATAAAAAAAGGAAATGATGAATATATGGGTCAGTGGGAAAACCAGTTCGTCAGCAAACATTCTGTAGGAGATGCCGGAAGCGTTATCGGAAGTCAACGACAATGTTTGATCCACTTTCAAGTTTTCATATTACATGAGGTTCAGTTGCAGGCATGGGACAGGCATTGATTGACTTATTCGCCAAAAGAGGGCAAACTGTCAACGGAACGCAAAAGACATTTCCAAAATTATTGGCAGGAACCTCAGCTTTGGCGTCGGAGGTAAAAAAGTCACTGCCATCATCATATAGGAGACCGAAAAACTTCTTCTCTAACCAATACCTCTTTGGTACATAGATTACATTTGGTAGAGCTATTGGATAGTTGTTTTTCTTTTTGCTTTAGATGGCGTTGGAGATGAAGCGAAAACTCCTTACATATAGCTACATATCGTTTATCACGCGAAGGATTCTGAAACTCTGAGAATAGTCTAGCTCTATGGAGATAGAGGTTTTTAATGTGTGCAGGATATTTCATAAAGGGAGGGTTGATTTGTTGGTAGGGAACAAAACGATTGATGAGATCATGGATAACACTCAGAAGTCGGTCATAACAGTTCATCGATAAGCGAGAAATTCTCAAGTAAGTTCAGCCAATCAATGCCTGATAAAATTGATTCGATCGAATTTCTATCAGCATTGTGATAGTCACGTACTCGAGACGAAGTGGCACCATCGCCATGACCAGAACAAGACAACGCGACAGAAAATGATAAAATGTTATGATCGGAGGTACTCAAAGGTGGATGCGCTTGCATACTCGAGACTATTTCTTTTTTTTGAGATTATAAGATCTAAAATGGAAGCATGTCTTGTAGGGAGGGTGGCTAATTGTGAAAGTGAAAGCGACAGACTTTCGGATGGTGAAATGAAAAGGGAAGAGCGCTAACCAAACATCTCTCTGAGCTCTTCCTTGCAAAAATTGAGCATACTAGTGAGAGATATACAAACAAAAAATTCTGGTTATTTCTCGTTTTTCGAGGAGGACAACGTGCGGAAAAGAGAAAATGTCAAAAACGGTCCCATCAGAGCAATCAATTACACTGAGTTGTTAAAAATAATGTAGTCTCATTTGCTTGGTATGGAACCGCAACCAAGCGTAACCCAAGAGCGCGTGTGGGTTATTGTTTGGTAGAGCAAGGCAAGCTCTACTCAGAATCAGGTTCTGTATGCCCAAGAAAAGCATTTCCGTTTAAAACTTTTTACGGACCTCCCACTCCAAACACTTGTTCTATCGACATCAGGAATTCATATACGCCATATTTCTCCTCCACTAGACTGATGATCGCACAGAAGAAGGTACGCTTTTAAGCAGTTTGCATGCGATTTTAGAGGACAGCTCCAGAGGCCTTGCCGCTCTTGAATCGATTATTAGCCTTGGTCAAACAGTCTGCCGCCAGGGGCATTTTCGATAATGAAAAACGGGGTCGCTCCATTGTTATATCTGGGATTTCTGAGCTTGGTGATACTATCGCTTCTGAACGCCAGGCCCACACGGAAAACTCTAGGATTGTCGTTTAGACAAACTAGATATAGAAGCGAGGCCCACAGAGATTTTCAGACTGGGTAAACCTGGTGGCGGTCGACCCCGTCTTATTAAGTGTGTCTTTTCCTCAAGTTATTTCTACCACGAAACGCTAAGAAAAGCTCCCTGTCTTCGCAGCTGCCCCGGTTTCCACATCTTCATCCGGAAGTCAGTGACTCGGGAAAAGAGGGACCGAGACCGGGAGCTGCGACAGCAGGCAGGCAATCTTGGCGAGAAAGATAATGTCGGAAGCAAAGTCTACGTAGTGTATAGGGAGGGGTCAGATTGTGAAGGCTACGGATATCCCGAAAATCAAAAACTCGGTCCAAAAAACTGATGACTTGCACGGGATCATCCTTGGATTTTTTTTTATAGAAGGCAAGAAGCCTTGCTAACAGATTTCTTGAGTCGCATCATTTTGTTCAGCTTCACAGACAGCCATAGTTTTCATTACAGAGTCATGGCTTAATCCAAATTTCTATGATTCTGAAACTATTGGGAACCTTCCCTATAATCTTCTTCGCAGATCGTACAAATAAAAAGGGGAAGAGTATGCGTCCCGATTCGGTAGGATTTAGTTTTTCGAGAAATCAATATTGATTCGTACCCATCGTTGGAGTTCTCTTTGATCTATTTGCAAACCAATAACTGCCGTGCAACTTGTGCTCGTTTATCGATCCCCAGTCAAACATACACTCAAGAGAAAGTACTTGTAAAATCTCTTTCTAATATTGCCGTGTCAACAGCGAATGTATCATTCTTGAGTGATTTCAACTTGAGTGATTCGACTGGGCAACCTCGAGAGCTACGAACAGATTTCGCAGTTCTTGCACCTTTTGCTACAGCGTGCGTCCAAGCCTAATCAAGGTTTTACCATAGTGCGCAACTACACATAGAGCAGTATAAACTCGACTGTAGCGTCACATTTACAATTCAAGAAGGTATAATGTCGTAACTGTTGCGTTCTCATGGGACAGCAAGATAAAATGAAAGAGAAAGTTGAATGAGCATTCACAGTGCTGTTTTACCGTGAGTAGTTTTTCAAAGTCCTCTTGTCTTGAACAGAGGAGAAAACAGGTTGTTTCCACAAAGCTGCATACAATCTGTCCATCGGGTAGGCCGAACCGTTAGGCCCCGGACAGACTTCACGCGATTTGATCGTCGCGACTCAATCGCCGACTTTTCCATTCATTTTCATTTCACATTCAAAAATTTCGGGCTGGAAAAGTATCACAACCGAAATGCAAGCTGATCGGCATGCAATGAACTCGTAACAGTAGTCTCGTCGCGATTGAGTCGCGACGATCAAATCGCGTGAAGTCTGCCCGGGGCCTTAGTGTGAATTGCGCGCTCGTAGGCTAGAGGCTTGGGTCGCATATGCGCACTGTCGGAGAGAACGAAGAGATTGAAGAGAGGGCAGACTAACAGGCCGTAGGCGTGGCGCGAAACTCTAGCGACGCGGAGCCCCGCCATGCCAATTTTGGCCTGATTAGGATTAGGGCAGACTGTAGCTGAAATTTGTTTGCTAAAGCTGGACCAGCCATGCCACAGTCAACTCATTGACGATGACGCCTAATTTTATATGGCGGCGCTGTGGGACGACGCGATATTGCACAAAAACTTCGTGGTCACTTGTTTTGTGACTATTATACGAGATGTTGGAATGCTTTGTAAACATTTGGATGCATTTTTTGCATAGCGAAGTTTATTTCCGACCGTCTCGTGGATTACTCCAAGTGCAAAAAAAAATCGGGAAAATTCTAGACCCGGAAAGGGTATGCCTCCCGAAAAGGTGTGGGCCATCGATGGCCCACATTGGCTCTGGCAGCAAAAAGTGCGCGCGCCACCGGTGGCCCACATCGTGGTCAATGTATTAAGCGATGGCTGCCTAGATTCCACCCATCCTTCTCCCCGATAATGCCTTGTGATTGCGAAACAGGTGAGGAACCGACGTGGTTCCGCCACGAACACCCTGATAGCGACGCAGGTGGGTACCGTAGCAGATGGAGCAAAGACTGCGAAACCTGCTGTTGCTGCGTACTTCGTATCTCATTCGTAAGATTGAGGTAGGTACTGTTGTCGAATTAGGTACACCTAGGAGGCATTAGAATTCGTCAGAAGGTGCAAATTCGAGTTACATGCCTTCAAGGCAGTGTCCGAGCAAGAAGTCGATTTTGAATGTTGCGCTTACCTGGGACTATTCGCTATGCTGAAACCAGATCCAAGATTCACAGTGGAGAGCGCAAAAACGGCGAAAATGGGAAGCAGAAAAAAATCAGCAGATGGGCGTGGCTGTCACAGTGTGACTCACTCTCCCAGGCCAGGAGCGATTTTGTCAATTTCGATTTTGTCAAACGTTCGCATTTGAGTGGTGACGATCTCAGGGCGATCAGCGAAAGCGAGAATATTTCTCCTGGAGCTGGGAGAGCGACGTATATATGTGAACAGCCCGCCCACCTGCGATTCCCCTTCTGCATTAGAGTATTTCTCCGTTGTTTTCGCGCTCTCCAGTGTTGATTTTCGAATTCATCATAGCCCAGGTGAGCACAAAAATCTCAAAATCGACGTTTTGCCCGGACACTAGCCTTATCTGAGGAGATTAAGGGGCAATTCGAAAACAAATCTCCCAGTTCTCTCCCGCTTCATTTTTAGTGCAATTGGCGAAAGTCGAGACAAAAGCGGCTAACGTGCGAATGCGATTTTCTCGAGATTTTTCAGTTAATGGGCGATCACTTGCGGAATTAAACCATGGATGTCTGAGTGGAATATGGACGCAGCTTCACTTCAATGCTGTGACCGCTTCTACTTGAATGATAGAAAAAATCGTCCTTGCAGTCTCATTTTTTCTAAACGATCTTGTTGATTGGTGGCTGCATTATATACCTTTGATTCAACTGGCTTGGCGACTGGAAGGCGGGGCTTCGTAACCTAATCAAGCCTGGATAGTGATAAGAGAGCACGCCGCAAGAGAGAGCAACTGCGGACCAAGCGGCCTTAATTAGGTTACAAAGCCAGCCTTCCAGCCGCCAAGCCAGTTGAATGAAAGGCTACTCTCAGATGACGACATTGCTTATGAAAATGAGACTGCAGGAATAACATTTTACCTTTCAGCCAACACAGTGACAACAGCGGTAACTGTGATAGCAGTGCTAACAGCGATAATAATGGTCACAGTGACAGCAACGGTAAAACGGTCAGAACGGGAACGGTAGTAATTAACAATGCTATCGTGACAATCGTTAAGTGGTACTGTTTTGCCAAATTTTTGAACGCTGGTAAATCTTTTTAACGTACACCTCCCTTATGAGACACCAACATCCACCTACTTTCAACATACCACTTCATTCAATCTTAGAGCAGAATTTCACCTGGTACTGCGATCAAGTTTTAGTCAGAATCGACCTGCCATAACGATTTGAAAACTTTTATTCACTAAAATTCGAAGTTAATAGTTGTCAAATTAATCCCGCATGCAAAATTTTTTTTCATTTCTGCAGTTCAGCCAACTCCTGTGGTAACGGTGCATCCGGATGGCGACTCTCGAAATGCTGCTTGTACGATTTCAAATTGACCATTTGCGTCATACATACGGTGCACTTGTAGATCAGAGATTTTTGTGCCGCTGCTTTATGATCGAAAGGTTGTGACTTCCGTTGAGCTTCTGCCTCAATAGTCCCTCTATTATCGTACTTATCGAACGCCTGAGACGCTCTCTTACCTTCTTTTGTGCTTTCTGCTGCGCTTGAATTCTTGCAGGACCACGTGCCATTGATGTATGGATGGAGAATAAACCAGCTTAGCTGTCTGAAATTGATAGTGCAAAATCATTGACTATGAAAATATACTTGTTTGGACAGATCAGCAGATGCTGAAGTACACAAATGACGTAAACCAATTCAGCACAAGTATCGATCCCTCGTAGCCAAATATGGGGATGGGGTGAAGTGGCAGCTTGTACGTGCGTAATTTTAGCGAAATCGTTGAGAAATGTGCGGTGGAGGATCATCAGGGTCGAGCAAGAGGTGTGGCATCAAGCGCCCGATACGACCCCCCCCCCTCACCAGCATTATCATTTGCCTTCCGTATGCATGACATAAAGGCTCTACCATGTTACGTACATATTCGTAATTACCATGTCAAATAGCCCTCATGGGCCAAGTTTTAGCAAATTTTGAGGGTACCCAATATTGGACCACCCAAGTGAAGCTTTCATTTTCAAACATGATTAACTAACTTATTTTGAGAGCGAATTAGCTAACTCTTTTTGTACTCTGTACAAAACACTCCCCAGTTACCCATGAAATGAATTCTGCTTCAAATAACTATCATATGATGGAATTAGAGGAAGGCCAAAATCTCGCTTGTCCCATTTTTCGCTTTCAATGGCTGCGCTTTCACCAGCTTTTACTCAGAAAGAAGAAGAGAATTAGGCCCAAATTACTTCCATAAAAACTACAAGACTCAGGCTATCAAACCATATGTATTATTCGCTAAAATTCTTTCCGGAGGTAAGTTAATGAGGTGTGGAACAACCTAAAAAGCTGTGGCTGCCACACCTTTTTGGGTGTAGAGGACTACCTGTCGCGATCATTTGCAACATAATACGCACCCTTGCATATGCATGGAGATGCGTTCCTGCAAAGAATCCGCGCGGGACCCTTCACATTCGGCGACATATAGTCCTTTACTCCCTTTTTGGGGGTTGTGCCATACCCCAATACTTACTTTCGAAGCATTCAAATCTCTGTCTTTTTCATGGTTGCTACTGCTAAAACTTTTTCTCCACAGAGCAGAATTTCATTCAAGATTGTCTCTCTTAGGGAAAGATGCAGTCGTTTTTCCTCAGCTATGCAAATGGAAAACACTGCGAAAATATTGGATTACGGTAATATGCTAAGTCTGCGCTACTACGTGAATAGCGAGGGAAGGCGGCAGAAACAAATATTAGGTTGTCCCAAAAGTTTGTCGTTTCATTTTAAAAATTTTGTAACTTTGCTCTATCTCAACGGATTTGCATCCTTTTAACGTTATTTGAAAGCGTCAGTCCCTTGCTTCCAAAAACCTAGCTTCCTGGCTTCTAATACACACTAATTGCAGAAATAAAAATGGAAAAAGAAGACCGTATAAACTTTGGTCATTTTAAGTTAGGCCGTCAAAAGGCTAAAACGCTGCAGAAAAATCTGAAAACGTAAATGCACGGTTTTTTGACCTATTCTTTACATAAGAGAAGAAATTGTGTTGTTTGGACATTTCAGTGAAATGTTATGATTTTCGAGAAAATTGACAAATTAATCAATTTTGGCGTTTTCTATTGTAAACTCGAAATTCATAACTTTTCAAAGAGACGTCCAAAAAACAAAATTTCTCCTCAGGTACAGAGAATAGGTGATAAAAATTATATACTAGCAATTTCAGATTTTTCTGCAGCCTTCTAGACTTTTGGCGACCTGACTTAAAATGGTCAAAACTCAAGTGGTCTGCTTCTTCCATTTTTAGATATCTCTGCAACAATGAATAGTTGAAGCTCACCAAGACACCATTAGAAAGAGGAAGACTTCTTCTTTTCATGAAATCAGACGGACGCAAATCCGACAGCAAAAACAGCAGAATGAGACAGCAAAAAATTACAAATTGAAAAAAATGAAACGACAGAACTTTCGGGACAACCTAATATATTCGATAACCTGATCCTCGTAACTTTCACAAAAGTGATCTGAGCCTGATTGATCTTTTTCGGTCTGAGGATTTGAAAGCGAAAATGAGGCAAACGAGATTTTGGCTTGCCCTTAATTCCAGAGTTTCTAGGCTACTTAATGTGGGATTCCTAATATGAGCAAAGAAGTGTTAGAACTTTGTACTAACAAGGGAAGTCACTCAACTTAGGTCGGCCTTTTGAAATGAGACACATAAGTTTAGAATCAGCTCGGAACGCTTATTCCAAAAATGCTGTCCTTAGCTGCGAAGCATTTCTCTGAAGCGAGTTATGAGCTTTTTAACATGTGTTATTGACATACAACTAAATATGGAAAAAAGGCCTGTAGACGGAATCTGCTCCAAAAAATTGATGGAAAATCGAAATAACATCAAAATAAGCCTTTTAGCCTTGATAGAGTGTATTAGGCATTTGAACCACTACCTAGATGACAATATCGTGGCATCTGTAAGGCAGTCAACACGCAAGCTTTGCTCAGGAAAAAGCTCATAACTCGCTTCAGAGAAACGCTTCGCAGCTAAGGACAGCATATTTGGAATCAGCGTTTCGAGCTGATTCTAAACATATGTGTCTCATTTCAAAAGGCCGATCTAAGTTAAGTGACTTCCCTTGTAAGTGCAAAAGAAGTACTTAAAGGCACCGTCCACCCAGATTCTCGACTTCCAGATTTTTGTCGTTTCAGAGCCTTCTCATGTCCCTGATTCCAAATATGAAGTCGAGAATCCGCGATAACTCCGACAATCCCCATTCCGAAGAGCCCACAGGCCGGCTTTAGAGAACGGTGATTGGATGAGCGCGCACAAATGGGCGGGCATGGATGGGGGCAGGCATCCTCGTGCATCTCCGCTATTCCGAAGCGATTTTCTCGCTTCAGAAGCGGCATGTTGGGCCGCGATTGGGCATTGGCTTGATAGGAGGCCCTACTGTTATATGTTGCCAAAAGCTCAACACAGCCTCAACTTAGGGTGGACGGTGCCTTTAATTCACCTTTGAAAAGGTAGCTTGTTTGAAAATGACCATCTCACTTTAGTGTCCCAATATTATATTTAATAAGCTCAAAATTCTCTAAAACTTGGCCCACAGGAGTTATTTGACATGCTTATTACGAAAAAGATGCTCTCATGCTTTTAGCTTTTTATTATACTTACATTATACTTATTATACTGTAATGTATACGATGGTGGGCCAAAACATCATTGTGCTAGTGTTTTGCATGTTGAGCATATCAGAATTGTTGACTATGTCGCTAACATCACTATCACCTCGATAACGACCCCCCCCTCCCCTTCCTGGCCCCTCTGACCCCCCAGGTGTGGCGTGCCACACTATACGCTTGACCCTACTATTCATTCTATGGTGAAAAAGTCCGAAATGGCTGATTGTTTGTGAGAATCGAGACTTTGGCAGAGTAAGAGTGGTTTTTGAAATTTTGTGCTTATCCGGACATATTCACTATGCTGAATCCGAAAACTCACAATTAAGAGCATGGAAAATGGCGAATAAGGGCTTCAACGTAGGAGAGAAATCAGCAGGTGGATAGGGACTCCCCATCGTGAATTCACGCTCCCAGCTCCTAAGCAATCTTCTCGATTCCGCTAGTCGCCCTGACATATGCGTCACTTGAAATCGGAGCTTAGAACTTTGCAGAGTGGAAGACCCCGCCCACCCGCTGATTTTCCTTCTTATTAGAGCCCTTATTCGCCATTTTCGCGCTCTCCAAGGATTTCGGATTCAGCGTAGCGAATAGGCCCATGTAAGCAAAAAAAATTGATTTCTTGCCCGGGCACCGCCTTTACCATCCCCAAATGGAGACACTAGAAAATAGCGACTATGATTTGCGCATAAGTCATGAGAAGCAGCGTCATTTGCATTACTCAAAAAATGACTTTAATGTGTAGTTCTCGCTTTGCGTTAATTCCGAGAGCAGTGTGATACCGAAGAAGATGAACTCAGATGGTCCATTCAATGTCGAGAAAGACACTTCCGCTAGTCTCCAAAAAAAAAAACTGCGACTGGAAACACGTCTTAGGCCCCGGACAGACTTCACGCGATTTGATCGTCGCGACTGAATCGCGACGAGACAACTGTTACAACGTCATTCCATGTCGATCAACCTGCACTTCGGTTGTGATAATTTTCCAGCCCGAAATTTTTGAATGTGAAATGAAAATGAATGGAAATGTCGGCGATTGAGGTGCGACGATTAAGTCGCGTGAAGTCTGTCCGGGGCCTTAGAAAGTCCCTAAATAGCAATCCTTTATTGATGCACACGGCTCAGCTAAGCTTTGGAGTTGTTAAACAACAAACATAAAAGGCTTACGTCTTGTCGTATGAAATCACAGGAAACATTCTCGGATGAAATTTAACCGCGATAAAAATAGTAACAATGTGCGCTGGAACCCACTTTACAATGTGATAATAAGTGTGAAGAACACTTACGTGCAGTCTGAAATTTGATTCATTCTTCCTTCGCAACTGGTTAAAATCTTTGTATGCAGATGTTTTAACAATTTGCAAAAAAAGACCGGAGCTACTACATGTTATTTTTGATATATTCCAAAGTCAAGCTAATCAGTATGGATTTCAAAAGAATAATGTGAAGAGAAAAATTTTATGCTCACCCTTGTAGGGAGTTTTTTTTCATAAATGAAGTACTCAAATCTTCGGTACACCAAATGATTTGATCATTCAGATCTAGTCACAGTCTTGAGACGCGCTTAAGGATTATACTGTCTAATTTTACTGCAAGTAGAATTAGACACATGCAATTTGATGGCTCACGTAAACCATTTCGAAAAAAATCTGCCCACCCCGCTCCCCGCACCGCCTCGACTCCTTCAGGTCCCCACTAGAGGCCACATATCAAATAAAAAATCCACTTTTGACAGACTTGTTAGCGTGCTTTTCAGATAATAGGGAAGGACTTATACTTAGAAAAAATTCAATCGTCCCGACGCGAAAGCCGGCCGAGTTGTTATAGGTAGTTCAGTGTTAATAATACGAGCAAAACAAGTAAGGCAGCAAGTATGAACAAGTATGATTACGGCAACAGAACAAGAACTGGAGAATCATTGGATCCGCAAATTTATGATCGGCTTTCGGCCATGTGGTAGAGGACCGCAAAACAAGCACCATGGAAATGAAGACTGCATTCACTAGTCCATGCGTCATGAACAAAGTACAAAACAAGATAAAGCAGAGGGCACCATTGCCTAGCCTACGTCACGACATCATGTTGCGAGCGTGTAACGTGGCAGTGACAATAAACCTCGGGCCCAGTCAGATGCTTTACCTGCACCAGGTGTGGTATAATTTGCTCTTGAAGCAGCTGCTCCGTCCTCAGTTCTTTGGCAACTGAGATGGAGTCTGAGGTTGTGGATGAGCAGGTCCTGCGGGTCTTGGGTCGGTGCAACGACGCAGCGCGGTTGCGGCGGGAGCTTCGACTTGCTCGCATTTTCCACGTGACTCCTTCAGCCCTCCTCCCCTCGCAAAAGAGGATCGAATTTTTTTGCAGCGTATTTCGATACGATATTCCAAAAGGGCAGAAATATCCAACACTTGCGACCATATGTTTACCCCTTCCGTTCTCACCGTCTTAAATGGGAAAATTGTTTGAGGTACAAAGATATGCCATTAACACATTCACGACAAGGCCAATCTTTCGATTACTGCCGTTTTGGACTGCAGCCTTTTTCGCTTTGTCAAACTTACGACCCACTCAGATAATCGCCGGGGGCAGGCGGTCCGCAAACTCGCGCTTTTCTGCAGGCGGTCAGCAGGATTTCGGGGCGTGGCCAAATCTTCAGCGGGCGGTATTTCCGTTTTCTGCAAGCGGGCATCAATACAAAATTTTCTGCAAGCGCTCGTCAAACAATCTCTTTCAGCGAGCGCTGGCCAAACTTTCAGCAGGCGCTCGGACTCTTTTTACGCGGTTTCGGGCATACGCCGAGAAAAGATGAGACTCTATGTGGCAGAGGTGCCATCGATGGTTTTATTACCCAAGTTTGGGGTACTTTCTTCCAGCGGAAAGTACCTGGGGGCTGCGCGGTCCTCCACAAAGGACCGTGCGGCTCCCAATAATTTTGCATGTTTTCGCGGAATGTCCGCGAGAATGCGGCCACTGTGCCGCAACTTATGTATAAAAAAGCGCGGTAGATCTTCGAGCGTTCGTCCAAAAATTGGCCAAAATTATTCCAAATTTCTGCAAGCGGACCACAAAAAATCAGCGAACTATTTTTCCGGTGCCCGCTTGCTCCAAATTCGCATGGCCGCTTGCCCCCGGCGATTATCTGAGCACTCGTGGGTCTTATTGTCCGAAATGGTAGTCTTTTGAAAGAAATTCAAAACATCTCTCCGAGAGTTTCCCTACAAGGGTTATCGAAGGCGCTGATTACCAAAATATGATTTAGGTATTTCAGTTTTTGGCAGTATACGGTAGGGTTACGGTAGTCATTCTGTACGAGGCCAACACCATGGATTTTCATGCAAAATTGTGTGTTGGGGTTATTTCACGTGCTGATCATCGATTATAGTGCCCACTTTGTTCGCTACTTTCCCACAGTGGGACTATGGTAACACTACGGTAGGATTTTTCTAAAAATCAAGAAATTGATGTAAGACGAGGGGGTATTCGAACTTGAAACTATCTTTTTCGTAAGCAGCGTGCTAAAAAACCTATATATGTAAGGTTTGAGCTTCCTGGGATGAACAGTGCGAAAAGTTAAAATCGATAAAGCCGATGATTTTTGGTGGGCTTATATCAGTCTCGTGTCATCCCTGTACTTCTCGTGCATGTAAACTTGAATTTTCAAAATCAGCATCACTCTGCGAAAAATTTGAGCTAAAGTCTGTGCCTTACCTCTTTCTACGGTGTACCTACCGTAACATTACATTACAGTATCCCAACCCGGACCACTCTGGCTGGAGCCTCGCTAAGTTGTTAATTATGTGCCAGAACTCCGTAGAATTCCATCATATATTGGCAAAGCTAGAGCTTCAGGAATCTTACGACCCACCGGTGGGTCGTGTTGTCCGAAACGCAGAACACGTACGACCCACGGTGGATCGTATTGTCGTGAATGTGTTAGGACAGATACAATTAAAGGGAGGAGACTTTGCAGATCATTCGCGAATTAGCGTAAATAAGGAAAAATTGGAAAATCGGTGCACAGAAGCATAACATTATGCTATTGATTCAGTCCATGATGGCACTGTGCTTCGTATACAAAGGGAACAGATGATATTCAGCTAAGTGCAATTTCCGTGCTGATGCACAGCCGGATGTATTACTAACACTGCTCGCTCTAGAATTAGGGTTGGGACCATGGTTAGTCTAGCGTACTACTAAATCAAAGGCATCGGCGCCACACTACTTCCAATTCAACGTTTTTATCACTCGACTATAACTCGCTTCAGAATGGACGAATTTCTTAATCCGAGGCAAAGTTCGACTCAGCTCGGCACGGAGTATCTTCTGATATATGAAGAAGCCCGTTTCGGCAAAGTAGGAGGCCAAATTTCACAAATCGTTTCAGATTTTTGTACGGTAGGTTGTCCAGCGATTGCAACGAATAAGCAAACTGACACGGAAAGGCGCTTAATTTAGATCAGCTTCGGAAAACGATACGATCGGAATCAGCTTAAAACGCTGATTCCAGATCTTCTGTCCGTATCTGCGAAGCATCACTCCGAAGCAATTATTTTTTTATTTTATTTTATAACTATACTCGAGGTGCATCAAAAGGGAGAAGATCAAACAGAGAGCTCAAACAAAGCACAACACATAAAACTGGCCTCCCAGTCACAGGGCAAACAGAAAATAAAAGATGGATAACAAAACACGAAGCTCTAGATCCATCTAGCGAAGTAAAAAGCACTTTGCACAAAAAATCTAAAGACTTCTTGCATTCTTAAAACTCATAATGACCCCCTTTTGGGTGTCAGCGAGCCTCCCCGGTAAAAGCTAGCTGACCAGGCCCCGATAGGGCTTTGATTTGAAGGAAGCAAGAATCCGAACCGGAGTGGTAGGGATAAGTACCTACGGACTACGTCAGAACGAATCAAACTAACAGACGAAAACTAGCAGAGTATAGATGGGGTCAGGCTACAGTGAGGTAATAGAATGTTACTAACGTAACCCTGACGAAGAGACTCGCTGAAATGAACGTTAGTAAAGCATGATCATGGTTAGTAATAACAAAACAAAAATTTAAAACTGAAGATAACGGCCTCTCTTCAATTCTATGCAGCCGGCTATCAAGAGTAAGCAAAAGATGTCAAATAACATCAGCGACGACTATGTAAGCAGCACGCAGTAGCCGCGACACAATGCAACATCACCGGTAGTAGAACCACATGTAACGTAGTTACCAGAGATGAACTGAAAAAGACAACGACAGAAAACACTATCAAGAAAAAAGCCGAGTAAGCTCAGCCCGTTTCAACTTACTGTTAGCACTGAAGCTCCATGCATCCTTTGATGAAATGATATCTCTGGGCAACAGCTGAAATCATCGAGTGCATCTACAGAAGATATTATTGTACATCCTAGATGAATTACAATTAGTGGTTCTATAATGCAAATTGAAGCCTCCTTATCACTAGTTGGTACGAATATCCAGTACTTGCTTGCCATCAATCTATTTTCTTTCCTAAGCACTCGAAAGCAAAAAACGGGATCAGCAATATTACGGCGACAAATACGGCTTTGTAAATTAAACTTTTTTCAATCGAGCTTCATAATTCGGAGGCCTGTTGTTTGGAGAGAGGCGAATACACAAGAGTCGAGTAAAAGTTTTTTGAACCTGTCCAAGCTTTGCAATTTCCTTTTTACGTATGGGATTCCAGACCTGAGAACAATAACAGCAGCATCAACATGTTCTGAAAACCTCAGCTTTGAATCAACAATAACCCCAATCAATCAACAATAACGAGATATGAGCTTTATCCTAAACAAATTCTACGGGTTGTCCGACTTACTGATGTTAGGCATTATCATCTAGGTAGTGATTCAATGCATAGCATTTCCTATCAACCGCAAAAGACTCAGATTGATGTCTTTTGACGTCTCACCACCTTTTTCGGGCAGATAACTATCTAAAGACTGTCTTTCCATATTCAATCGTATGGCAATGGCACATACTAGAAAGCTCATATCTCGCTTCGGAGTAAAGCAAGAATTCATCCACTCTGAAGCGAGATATGGCCACGCTGCTGTGATGTCACATGAATCGGGTGACTGTGCGTCGTTTTTTTGAAAAAACACGAGCGGTCTTGTATGTGAAATCCGATGCTGCCCTCTTTAGATCCGTTTCGCCTGCATCTGTCCAAGCTGAGACCTTCTGTCCGGAAGAAAAAGCAACGCCGACCACAGCCGCAACGTGCCGGACGCTTGTCCGATAGCAAGGACACGCCTGGACGTTCTCGCCGTGATGACGTGTGCTACACCTGTGGAAATAAAGGACACTGGGCCAACAACTGCCCGTCAAGGAACCGACCAGTCCGCCGTTCCTTGAAGAAAGTTGTAAAGCTGAACGTACTGAACTCCCACCGTCGTTACGTAAACGTCAAGCTGAAGGACTTGGACGTGAGAATGCAACTCGACACCGGTGCCGATGTATCGACAATCAGCCGCAGGACGTGGATGGAACTAGGATCGCCAACCCTGAAGGCTCCGCCTGCGGAATTGAGAGCTGCAAATGGATCGCTGATCGAATGTTTGGAGTTCACGAGATGCCGTTCACATGGGGTTCGATGGCAATGGATTATTTTATGTCACCAAGGACCTGTGTTTGCTGGGAGTGGACATGCTTCAACAGCTGCCGCCCTTCCAAAACGCGTTCTCCGCCGTTTGCTGTGTCGTGGACGCCTCTTCGCCACTGGACGAACGCCTCGCAGCTGAGTTTCCAGAAGTCTTCAAGGATGAGCTCGGACATGTCAACAGATTCAAAGCTTCCCTTGTGCTGAAGAAGGATGCCACGACCGTCTACGTGCCAAAACGAAAAGTGCCGTTTGCCGTAAAGCCTCTCATCAACGCAGAATTAGATCGCCTCGTCACTATCGGAGTACTTTCACCAGTCAGCTACTCACAATGGGCTGCTCCCATCGTTCCAGTCAAGAAGAGGAATGGAGCAGTGCGCATATGTGCCGACTATTCTACCGGGCTGAACGGAGCTGAACAGACACCCGCTGCCCACTGCTGAGGAAGTTTTCACCAGCTGAATGGAAGAACGGTCTTTACGAATATCGATCTGCGTGACGCTTACCTGCAAGTGGAAATGGACGAAGAAAGCAAGGAGTTGTTGACCATCAACACATCGAGAGGACCTTTCGGCTACAACCGCCTACCGTTTGGCGTGAAGAGTGCTCCAGGAATCTTCCAATCGCTGATGAGCAATGTCACTGCCGACATCAACGGAGCAATTGCTTACTTGCACGATGTAGTGGTCACCGGAAGGACTCGTGAGGAACACGACGCAAACGTCTTTAAGCTATTCCAACGCCTTCAAGACTACGGAATGCGTGTTTGCCGTGAGAAGTGCCACTTTGCTAAACCCAGCATTACACTTCTCGGGTTCATCGTCGATGCGGAAGGAAGACGCCCTGATCCTGAGAGAGTTGCTGCCATCCTCCATATGCCGCCGCCCCAAGATGTGAAGCAGTTCGAATCGTACCTTGGGATGGTTTCGTTCTACTCGTCTTTCGTGCCAAGGATGCGTTCGCTTCGCGGACCATTGGATGCCTTCAAGAGGAAAAACACACCGTTTATTTGTAGTAAGGAGTGCCAGGAAGCTTTCGACCGCCTTCGCGAAGTCCTGACCTCAGATCTTCTGCTGTGCCACTACGACCCGAAGAAGGCGATCATTGTTGCCGCTGACGCAAGCAACTATGAAATCGGAGCCGTGATCTCTCACCGCTACCCGGATGGATCGGAGAAGGCTGTATGCCATGCAAGTCGTGCCTTGACTGCCACAGAGAAGAACTACTCGCAGATTGAGAAGGAGGGATTGCCCTGATTTTTGCCGTCAAGAAATTTCACCGTATATCTATGGACGAAGGTTCACTCTGCTGACGGACCACCGCCCTCTACTCACTATCTTCGGGAGCAAGAAAGGAGTGCCAGCCTACACCGCTAACCGTTTACAACGATGGTCAATGACGCTGCTTGCCTATGATTTTGACATCAAGTACTGCTCCACGACATCGTTTGGACAGGCCGATGCTCTCTCCCGACTGCTTTCCTGCCGAAGTGCGCCGGACGAAGACGTCATCATCGCTACAGTAGAAGCTGATGTCACCGCCATTTACGAGGAAACACTTGACCAGCTACCAGTCACCGTGGAAGACGTACGCGCTGCCATGAAAAAGGACGTCGTGCTGTCGGAGTTGCTCGACTGCCTTCAGACAGGACATTGGCCAAGAGCGCTCTTCCCAGAACGCCGTCGTTCAACTTTAGGAGCCAAAAAGAACCCTCCTACAACGGATGTATCTTCTTTGGATCGAGGATCGTCGTACCAACCCCACTGAGGAAGAAGATCTTGCGAATGCTACACGATGGACACCCTGGACAAACCCGGATGAAGCTGCTTACCCGCAACTACGTCTACTGGCCTGGGATCGAAGAAGACGTCAAGAAGACTGTGGAATGCTGTCGGAATTGTCAACTTGCCGCTAAGAATCAAGCTGAATTGACTCCATGGCCGATTGCAATTCGCCCGATGGAACGTTTGCATATCGACTTTGCTGCTCTACGGACACATGTAACTTGTCATCGTTGATGCGTACTCCCGCTGGCCCGAAATCGTAGAAATGCAAACGACGACGTCACCAGCTACCACGCAGGAACTTCTGAATATCTTCAGCAGATTTGGATTCCCAGAAACGCTCGTTTCGGACAACGGCACACAATTCTCTTCCCAGTTCTTCGAAGATTTCTGCAGGAAGTAAGAATCAAGCACATTCGGACTCCGCCATTCCACCCGCAGTCGAATGGACTTGCTGAACGCTTTGTCGGAATATTCAAGAGAGGACTTCTAAAGCTGAAAGGAGAAGGGAGCCTTCCGGAAGCGCTGTCAAAACTACTGCTATGCTACCGCTGTACCCCTGCCCGTCTTCGCCTGATAATCTTTCGCCCGCAGAGATGTTTCTTGGACGAAGAATGAATACACCACTCTCGCGTTTGGTCACTGACGCCAGAACTGCCACACCAAGTTGCTCTCCCGGATCGAAACCTGCGATGGAAGCTCAGTGCAGTCGCCACCATGGAGCCAGAAAAAGGAACTCCGAAGCCTGCGATGCCGTCTACGTTCGCGACTACCGTAATCCATCGAAGCCTACTCAGATAATCGCCGGGGGCAAGCGGCCGTGCGAATTTTGAGCAAGCGGGCACCGGAAAAATAGTTCGCTGATTTTTTGTGGTCCGCTTGCAGAAATTTGGAATAATTTTGGCCAATTTTTAGACGAACGCTCGAAGATCCATCGCGGTTTTTCTATACATAAGTTGCGGCACAGTGGCCGCATTCTCGCGGATTTTCCGCGAGAACATGCAAAATTATTGAGAACCGCACGGTCCTTTTTGAAGGACCGCACAGCCCTCAGGTACTTTCCGCTGGAAGAAAGTACCCCAAACTTGGGTAATAAAACCATCGATGGCACCTCTGCCACAAAGAGTCTCATCTTCTCTCGGCGTACGCCCGAAACTGCGTAAAAAGAGTCTGAGCGCCTGCTGAAAGTTTGGCCAGCGCTCGCTGAAAGAGATTGTTTGACGAGCGCTTGCAGAAAATTTTGTATTGATGCCCGTTTGCAGAAAACGCAAATACCGCCCGCTGAAGATTTGGCCACGCCCCGAAATCCTGCTGACCGCCTGCAGGAAAGCGCGAGTTTGCGGACCGCCTGCCCCCGGCGATTATCTGAGTACTTGGACTCCAGGACGTGTACGATCAAGGATTGGACGCTCACGACGCTTTACAACGTCGAAGTCGAAGGATTTGTATGGAGACGCCATGCCAACCAGCTGCGCCCTCGTGCTGTTCCCCGAGCCACCCGCACGCTGTTGGACGAATTCGACCTTCTAGACTTCGACCTTCCCAAAACATCGACTTTCGCCGTGACCTGGATATTCCCGCATCCGCTGCCCAGGAAGCTGATACCATCGAGGGGACGCCGCCAACTCTTGATGTCGAGCCGAGGGACGCTGAGGACTTAATCACTCCACCGCCGCCGTCGCGTGCTCGCCGTCGCTCGCAGAGGACCCACCAGCCACCACACCGTCTCGAAGTGGATCCGTCGAAAAAACGATACAATTAGAAACTTAAGAGGAGAGATGTTGGGGAGTGATATGTATATATGTAATATTTGTTTTGTATCGTTTACTCTGGTTTTTGTTGTGTTTCGATCCCTAGTATCTTGTGTGCTAGATTCAAACTCTTTATGAGTTCCCGCCTGTTCTCATAAAGCTCTCTTCGGTGCCTGGTACCGAATGGTACGTTCTCACAGCCGTGTGTGTATATATAGGTAGCGTAGCCGATTGATGATTCATTCGCATTCAT